ATTGCAGTGTCAAATTCTTGAATGTGACTCAAGAGGACTTGTCAATTGAGCTTTGACAATTGGCAGTACCCTCTGGTAAACCTACAAAAAGCTCTTGAAAATGGCCATAGAAATCGTGGATTTTCCCATTAAAAATGGTGGATCTTTCCATAGCTTTTTGTGATTTCTGATCTTATGATCTTCTATATATTTTCAAATACATACCTGGGATGATGAGGAGCGACTTTAGTTAAATTACCAGGTGACCGGATCCACAAAATACTCGTCAGTTCAATGTTATATGCGTCAAAATGATCAAGCCTCTGAAATGGATGGCGTCTCTGCCGTAAAACTGGGATACCCCCCAAACATCCCCAAACAACGAAACTTTGGTCTCAAAAAAAAACTCGCAATCTGCGGGGGTATACCCCATATATTGCGGGGGTATAGTTCATATTTTCATCCATTTTCAGACATATGATTTATAGATATTGAATATATACAGAGATAATATACGATATATTTATATATATATTTGATATAGTCGCCAAAAAATAGAAAAGCTTCAAGTTACAGTACCACCTTCAAGTTACAGTACCACTCTTTTACTGGACTTTGACCTTTCCATCTTGGCAGGTCTGTGGGAGATGAGATCGGAAGCTTTGAGACGGACGGCGAGGTGAATCTTGGGATATTCGAATAGAATTTGCCGTGATGGTAGCTTCACTAGCTGGAGATGTGTTTTTTGTTTGTTTTTTTTGTTGATCGAAAAAAAGGTATGTTTTTTTCTTGTGGAAACCAGTGTAAAACCATGAGGGAAAGCACTAAAATTTGACAGGGAAACCTTGGGATTTGGCAAGCCAAGTAGGAGATCAGATCTTAAGCCAGGCAAACTCGGGGGGCCATATGGGTCCCATGTTGGAGGCATCTTTACACGCTCTTCTTTGAAATAGATGGTGCCAAACATGGTGGTTAAATGGTAGTCAGGCCCATCTCTGGGGTGCATATCCCAAAGAATCTGTGGTGATATCCTTAGCTTTGTTAACGTGATGTATTCCAGTGTATTCCTATACCCGGAACCGCTTGACCTTCATTTCAGATCTTTAATTTACCCTCTGGTTATTTAACAGTTCGCCATGGGAAATGGCCCATAGATGATTTTCCCAGCGAACTAAACCTCCATTTATGGTTGGGATTTTCCAGCTATGTTAGTCATAACCAGATGGTAATATACCCTTTATATCTCCCATAAATCCATGTTTTTCCTATTAAAAAGGGTGATTTTCCATGGCAAACTGTGAATGTCACAACCAGATGGATCCAGATGGCTTTAAAACTTCCAAATCTGCTTCGCCAAAAGGGTGATCTTCGAGGATCTATCCGATGGCATTTCTGACCCCAGAAGCGGTTGATTGGGCTGGCGAAATGGATGTTAAATTTTATGTTCAATCCATGTACGGAACTCATTCAGCCAAATGTTTGGTCCCAAAATCACGATAGAATAGAATGATACATAGAATGATACATAGAATGATACATAGAATGATATAGAAATTATAGAACGTTGGCTAGTCCAAAAATGGAGTACACCATGGTACAGCAACTTGATGATCACCAAACACGGCAGGCCATCACCATTGGCAGCTTCAAGGCTGAGGAGGGCCCTGCCTACTTGCACCTCGTTGGAAATCTCTGAGGATCGGTGAATTCAAGTGCGAATATCTCTGACTTATACCCTTCAAGAATAAAAAGTGGCAATGGAAAACCCCCCAATTGGAGGTTCTGATGAGCACATCATCAAATGTACGATTTATCAACATAGCCATAACATAGCTATTGTATAGATGGCCCATCTAGTTCTATGATAAATCAATTTTCTTTTCAACTAGTCAGGTTAGATAGCCAGAGGGTGAATTCCCAGCGTTGCTGGTAGTTATAAATCAACAAACAAATTTGTTTACAGATTTGTTACTGCTAAAATTCTATTTTTTTGGGTTACCATCCTCCCAACTCGACTCATATGATCGACCCTACGAAAGAGGGGGGTTGTAAGACTGCTTTCCTTTTTTGGGATGGCAAGTTGTTGCTTCAAATCATGGAAAAACCCGAAATCGACTCACTTTTTCTCCATGGCTATCATGGTTTTTTCCATTCAAAAACACACACACACACACATTTTGGGTGCTTGAAATCCCCTGACACCATGTTTGGTGACCTGAGACCCGGCCAGACCCGGTCTCAGGTCGGGCGCGCGTGAAGGCTGGCAGCTGAATCTGGTGGAAACCTTCAAGTCGCGCGACAATCTCCGTGCCCTGGGACAGTCGCTGGGCGAGAGGGATGCGGCACGGGGAGCCGTTGTTTGTGTTGTGGTTGATAGATGGATATTTGGAGGTTTCATGAGGTTTCCATAAATGGAGGTACCTGCAAATGGATGGTTTATAAATGTTTATTATGGAAAATCCTATTGAAATGGATGATTTGATTTGGGGGTACCCGTATTTTCGGAAACCTCCATTTATTGGATATGCAAACGAGATTGGTGTGGTTTTTGGACCTTGGATCTGGATTTTGGATTTTGGATTTTGGATCATGTTTGGTGTTTGGGTAAAAAAACAAATTAGCAATGCCTTTCTGTGGTCTATGCGGCTTGTTGAAAACCACCATAAAATGGTGAAATTGAGTAAATGGTGTATGATTTATGGCATTGATGGCATAGGGTTTGCCACATAAGAAACATAAGTCATTGAACAAGGAAAGATGTTCTGAAGGTGGTACCCTCTGGTAAACATACAAAAAAACTATGGAAAAACACCATCTTCAATGGGTAAATCTACTATAAATGGGCCATTTTCAATAGCTATGTTAAATTACCAGAGGGTAATGACTATGGAAAATCACTATTTTTAATGGGAAATTCTACGAAATAAATCACCATTTTCAATAGCTATTTTGACATAACCAGAGGGTAATGTGAGGACTTGGGGCTTCCAAGGTGTCGCCAGTGTCGATTCGGCCTCGAGAGGCCTCTCGCAACGCCCCAGGTTGACGCGGCAAGGTGTGCTGGAATCGCCAGCGGCGTTGCTGTCCCTCGGACTGCAACCAACTGGGGCACGTCTAAAAAATGCTGGAACTCCCAATTTGCGGCCATTTTTTACATGAAAATGAATGAACATGATGGATTATACAGAAATGGAAAACCATGGGCCATGGAATATAGTAGAGTTGGGGTCCCATTTTTAGAGAAATCCTGCTGATTCTATCTGATTCTTAAAAATTTTGGGTGACTGCATTGTGAAAAAATGTCACGTAATCGTCTAGGCTCCATCCTGTAGCGTTTTTGCTGTTTGTTGACTGATTTGTAGACCTGTTTAAGGCCAAGTTGCTGCTTGTATTGAATCTGTTTGCAGTTCTTCGATTCTACTGTATGTTCTTCGGCAGATTGTTTCCGTGAAAGTTTGAGGATGTTTGAGGTAGTTTGGCATGGATAAATTTGGCTAAAAAGGCTAATAGTACAGTAGCACATTTTGGCCAGTATCAGATGTTGAATTACAAACTGGACTTTGCAAAAAAACTGCATAGCCAAATCTTGATTGGAAATGTTGGCTAGCTAGTCAGTCAATTTCCAGTCAGTTAACATGAAGTACATCTTATATTTCTGACATTAGACAAATTTGGCTTATTGGCTGATTTATTTCTGCCAATGATATTTTCATAAGCTTAGCTGATATATTCTCATTAATTTCAAAGCAAATGCTTCAATACTTATCTTAAAAACATATTCGAACTAGTGGTATTATGGAAAAATCATATGAAACATCTTGATTTCTGAGAT